AGGGCTAGAAGGCATCTTGCTGTCCAATTTACCTCTTGCAAACCGGAGTTACCCCACCGGGGGCCCGCTCCGGCTTCTGACAATCCCGCGAATGTTACGTAAACCAGCACAAAGTCCACCCGCTTCGACGGGCTGGTTAAAGTCAACCTTTCAGCTCAGTCCAATAATCCTTGCACAAACATGGGAATATTGACACGATAAATAGAAAAATTGACCTCTTGGCTTCCAGCACCGGTAGCCCCACAAGGATTGCTCCTATTAGAAACGCGTTGCCTTGGCAGAGCTGACCAGCCCCAGCCCTCAGGGCCACGTGCACATTAAAAGTTGTGCCAGGACGCTGACTTTTTTCCTGGCAGGGCCACTCTTCCCAAATGTCCGAAATGACTGGAATTTCCGCGTGGCTGATGGAGCGCTGTTTATTTTGCAATAATCCTCGCCGGTTTGATAGGTTTGTCAGAAAAGCAGGTTACTCACCACCGTGAAATCTTTGAAACGGATGACTTGGAGGCCATCTGCTCGCCTTCTCCTTTTTTCTTTGACTGCACCTGAAGCAAACAAACAAAGAAAATCTTTCATTTGTTGGTTCCTGGAAACATACATCTCTCCGTGCATGTGGGGCCAGCGCGACCAGCTGTGCAAAGACAGTCTTATTTACAGCCCCGCACAAAGCTCGGGTGACCTTGAAGGCAGGGTAAGGGACAAGACCAGCAGACCCAGGGAACTGCCACAAGTAGCCGAATCTCTAGGTCTCTTTCTCCTGGTTCCTCTCTTGCCATTCAAAGTCTCTTAGATTCTGCACTTCAGTGTGTAAAACCTCACTGTGCACAATGCTAACCTCCCACAGAGCTATAAAATCTCCCTTTGCTCTTCCAGACCCAAGCTACTTCGCAGTCCTTATCCTGGACCTGCAGACCCTTATCCCTCCCAGCTGACTTATGGACACTGAACTCCAGTCATGCTAGAAACCCACCTTTATGCAGGATTAAAAGGATTTAGGGAGAAGGGAAGGAAAACAAAGTCCTCTCTGATAGTTTTGCTCCTTGTCCTTCAAGCAGGTCAAACACATCTGCAAAGGCAGAGTTTGAAGTACAATCCCTTGGAAGCTCTTTTTTTGGACGGGGCAGGCCCTATGTCGCAGGGCAAGTGGGTGCGAGGAGAAATGCTTTTCATACAGCAGCATGTACAAGGGCATGTGGAGAGTGTCTGGCAACTGGACCACGGCTTATTTCTGAGAGGAAAAACAGCAGGAAAGCTCAGGTGGCAGAGGTGGGCAGGTGGGGGATAAGGGACAGGGCTGATGTCTTCTCAGACCACAGTTTAGGAGCCAACTGCAGGAAAGTTTCTGAGCAGCCATCTCTATTGACTCGTGAGGATGTCACACCTAAGGACTCAGACACAGCAAAATACTCCCAGTCTCTCATCTGATCATGCTCAGCGCTTTGCCACGTTCCTCAGACTTAACCAAGAGCCCGTTCAAGAAACCCAAAGCCGTCCTTTCCGCATCCCAGACTTCCTCTCCAGTTACCTAAGGAGAGCGGCACCCACCTCTCGCCAGTTCCCACTGCCAGCAGGGCTGGAAGGCTGCAGAGGACGGGCCAGCAGGTGTGGTGTCTTCGGAGGCAGAAGCAGAGCCGAGGATGGATCCTGGAGATGCTCCGTTCTTGCAGGGTGCCCAGCGAGGGAGGACAGTCCCTGCCTGGCGCGCCTGTGCCCTCTTGTGGCTTCCTCACCAAGCTGCAGGAGGTAGCAACAAATGTCCAGAGAAAGAAGAGAGAGGTTACTCTCCCCTTGCTAAGAACAAAGATTTTTGTATTGCCTTTTTTTGACACAGACCATGTAGGACCTTAATAAAATAATAAATAAATTAAATTCTATTCCTTTCCGGAGGCAGCTTTCCATTCAAAAGCTGTAGCAGGACAGCTCAGGAGCCAAAAAGCCCAGAGCAACTTCAGTTGCCTGAGCACAGCGAGCAGCCCACTCCGGACCCATCAGGGAAGGAGCTTTGAGTTTGGCAGGAGGAGGACAGCACTTCTATTTACTCCATCTTATCTGCTGTTGCCCCTGGCAGCTGCCTGCCACCTCCTCCTCGCAGTCCCCATCCATCCATAAAATCGTTGAATGGTTTGGGTTGGAAGGGACCTTAAAGATCATCTAGTGCCAACCCCTTGCCATGGGCAGAGACACCTCCTGCTAGACCAGGATGCTCAAAGCCTCATCCAGCCTGGCCTTGAACACTTCCAGGGATGAGGACTCCACAAGTGCTCCGGAGAACCCATTCCAGTTTCCCATCCATCCATCCATCCATCCATCCATCCATCTTTGTTCTGGCTCTGCCAGCAGCAACCCCAGCTCCCACCCCTGCTCTACTCCAGCACCAGCAACAAGAGCGCAAGCGGGATGGGCAGACGTCACCACCCCAGTGGCAAGCGAAGCACGGAACACAGCATCAGCCAAACTGGATTTTTCTCTTGGCCACAAAGCACTCGCACCCCGACCAACCCAACCCCAGAAGGGCAACCAGGCCTTTACAGAGGTTATAGCAAATGTTTATTGTCCTTTAATAAAGAGCAGGGTGCAACCATCCTGCTGTTAACGGAGTGACTTCGTATTAGTTTACAAAATTGCTCTCTCTGCTTTGTTTTAAATGCAAGACCACCTTATACAACGCATTTGTCTAATTGCTTTCATCTCAAAGTGCTTTATACAAAGTGACACTGGGGTAAATCCCACAAACCAAAACCTCTCCTACACAGAGAGATCATCTCATTCCCAGCGCTGCGACGCAGCCACGGCTGTTGTGCAACGTAGCAGCTAATGGCACAGGATGACAAGTAGATGTCAAAAAAAGTTGGGGGGAACAGATACAAGGAGAAACTGCCAGGGATAGAATCCACCCGAGTTGAAATCTGCAGCCGGGAAAAAGACGTTTCTGTTTTCCCTTCTTGAAAAACTGATGTCAAATTACCCCAAGTCACCAGACCCCACCAAAATGCAGGTTTACCACTAGCTCAAGACCCAGCCAGACGCTTACTCAAGGATGTATTTTCCAAGCTTTTACTCCCCACTAGAAACACATTCCTTTGGTGAAGAGCAGCAGACGCACGCCCTCACTAGGGCGAGCAGCAGCAGTTGGGGCACTCAGCTGTGGGAAGCAAAGAGCAGAACCAGGGCGTTACCAACCCGGACACGCAGGTCACAGCCCATTCGGAGCCGCGGGAGGTGGATTCAAAGCTCGTACGAATTGTCAGGAAGGTGTTCTCCCAGCTTTGGGGATGACGACTCACGTTTCATGGAGCTACTAACCCTTGGCAAACAATACCATGTGCCACGACAGGATAAGGAGGAGCGAGGAGCCACGCAGCGTGCTCAGTGGCCGGGAAGCGCATGCTCATAGGGGTCTTCTGCAGAAGGTTCTCAGGTCTGTTGTGAAGTTGTCCTTTACTGGGTTCCAAATTACAAACTTTTGTCCTTCCCATCTATGCCTCCTTCCCCCAGACAAAACCACAGCAGCTCAGTTAGTCTTCTTGCACTAAGATCCAGAGTTTCCTGCTGTAGCCTCTCCCAGGAGAGGGTGAAACTTAGTGGAGCCGAGGATGGCGATCTGGTTCTGGGCACCAGCTTGCTCAGATGGGAGTTACGACGATGGCAGAGGGACAGGACAACATGCCAGTGAAAAGTGCAGATGCGCCACATGAGATGAAACCTCTAGGGTGGGTGGTGGCTGAGCAGTCACTGAAAAAAAGGCTAAATTGGCTACAAAACACTGTCACGGCTTTAACACAGTTCTGTACGGACAAGCTTGGGCCTGAGCTCAAGCTCCAGCAAACCTCTGTTCTCCAACGGCTTCAGTGACATCCTTCCCCGCACCCAGAGCCCTCCCGTGCACACAAATCTGCCTCAGATCTCCTCTTTGGGGAAGTCAGCCCAGGAGAGGCTGGGTTTCCCAGTGGACATGCATCTCCAGGTCTGATGTAATGCTTGGGGAGGAAACCTCTGGCCTCAAGACCGCCCAGCCTGGATGTGCTCCTTCTGGAGACAGAGAACCCAGCCTGTGACCACGGTTTCTACCTCAGCAAGGAGGCCAGTGCTGCCCAAAGCTACCCTGAGAGCAGGAACAGCTCAAAGGCATCTCTCTGGGAGTGAGGTTTGCGCCTAAGAGCACCACGGGGGACTTGTGCACCAAGGATTGTCACCGTCCATCAAGGTCTGGATCTGTCTGCGACAACTGCAGCAGATTTTCTAGACCAGCAGAACACATCCTGCACCGAGGCCAGCTGCGAGGTGTGTTTTCCCTGCTCGCTTTCTTCTGCCCAAGGCCGCAAGCGCACAGCTCCAGCCGTTCCCCCAGCCTGGATTAGCCAGCGCCAAATCGCAAAGCTCCAAACAGAAACAAATCCCTCTTTGTGACTCAGTTGGCAGAAAGCTTCTCTTGCGGGCTCCTTTAAAAGGAGCGAGGAAGAACTCGTGGCTCTCCTCCGTATGATTATCGTGTGCTGAGAGCCTTTACAGGAACTCGAGGGGAGTAGGTGGTGAGCGGGACCGAGGTGTACAGCCAGGCACCCCGAAGAACGTGTGTAACAGACAGACAGACAGCCAGCATCTGTCCTGAAAGGTTTGCTTACAAAGGTCCAGGACTCCTGCCCTGCACAGGGCTGGCCTTGGATTATGCCAAGCAGACTGCATATAAAAACAAAAAGTTAGTTTTTTTTTTTTAAAAAAAGGATATACACTGCATGTAGGAGACTCCACAGAGGACAGTCTACAGACAGGCACCCCGAAACAGCCAGGGCCAGCCCAGCTGCATTCCAGTCACAGTTAGAGAAGTGGGACAGCTGAGGGTACAACTTGTGCTTCTCGCTTCTTCGTCAGCTTCAGGCAGAGGGAGGGTGAGGACAGAGTAAGGCCGGCTGCAGGAGAGGCACCCCGCTCAGCTCTTCAGCCAGCTGGGTGGGACAAGCCCTTGGTACAGGAGCAGTTTCCTTCCATGCTCAGGCCTCTGCTCACATCTCACTGGGATAAAATCCAAGTTTGGCAAGAGACATCTCCCTCCGGAGCCGCATCACCTCCCAGTACATCAGCTCCACTGCAAGACAAAATGGGTGTGGGGGAGAGAAGGAGGGGGAAAAAAAAGAACCAAAACCCACTAAAAATCAGTAAGCAAGGCACAGCTGGACATCACCTCACACTCCGCTCTGCTCTCAGTGCAGCCCAGCCAGGCTCAGCCCCAAAGCCGGGGAAGCAGACACGCTCAAGGGTCCAGCAGGACAAGCCCATCACGTCACCCCTCACCAGCTCCACCCCAGGGCAAAGCTCCCAAACAGCTGATGAGCAAGGAACAGGTGCATCTATCCCTCCTGCTCACGCCTCTCTTTGCAATTTAACTGTTCCTCAAAGACATGGGGGAGTTCAGGGGACCCCGAGACGGCCCCGTTCCTGTCACACCTCTTAATTCCTCCCCATGTCCCACAGACAGCACCCGCCACCGCAGAGCCAGCTACCGTCCCCTCTTACCGTCCTGCCTCACCAAGCCCTGCTGGATATAGCGAATGTAGGTGAAAAAGTTGCACACCGCTGTGATCTGAGGACAAGAGAGAGAAAAAGGAGTCAGCTACAGAAATGCTTTGCCTGTCAAGAGGCTAGCACAGCAGCCAGCAGGAGAGCTCCTGGTGCTCAGCACCCAAGAAACAACACCACACAGCACCAGATGGAAAGAGAGAGGAACAAAGTCGGTTAAAAAACCAAGTAAATTTTAAAAATATCAATATTCCAGACATCTGCAATCCCATCCTAAGATATTACACGATCCCTGAGACATTGTGGAAAAGCTTCTATCTACGGCAGATTTGAGACATAAGTGATCACCACTTCACGAGGCAGCCAAACCTGTGATCTTCCTTCAAAGAGCAGTGTTCTCTGACTGAATGAAAACTTTTGGAGTTAAAGGTTTGTGCAGAAAGCGTGTGTGCAGGGAGGTGAGGGTGTTCGTGCCATGTTAGAGAACTGTGGTGTAAGTGACAAAAATTAGTCACCTTAAGTCCATGCACGAAACCAGCTTTTTATCTCAGAAAGTCACATGTTGCAGGATCAGCTCTTCTGGTTATGGAACTCAGGAAAGAATAAACTCCTGAAGTGCTCCATTGAATCAGAGCCCCAACAGCAACATTAACAAATCATTCACCTTCTCCCTTCCCTCCAAAGAAAGGACGGCTTGTTCTCATAACCAAGTCACTGATCTGCACTGGAACAGCAACATGAGCCAGCATTTAAAGAGCAGAGAATTACTGTGTTTAACAAAGGAGAATTAAAAAAATCATAATAAAGCAAAACAATCAAAGCCTTGTATTGAATCAAACCACGGAAAGCGAACACATCGAAGTTGCCTGAAGGAACGTAAGGCAGAGCACCAGGGCACGAGGCAGGGCTGGAGATCCACGTTCTAGTCATTGAGCAGGAGTCACCTCGACTTCAGGACCAAATCAAGCCCCACAGGTCTCTGCCAGCTTGAGGGCTCACCCAAGAACTCCTCTGTTCCCAGGGCTCAGAACAATTCTGGAAGGTCAAGGCAAGCTGAGAAGGTGGAAGACTCACCCTGGCCCTGCAGGATGGTGAAATGTAGTAGTAACTGCCAGAATCCCCCAGCATGATGCGGTGCTTGCAGGTCCTGGGAAGGCCGCTCAGGGCACATTTCCTGCAGACAAAGAAAAAACACTTCAGCCTCCAGCAACCAAGGAGCACAGCGATTCAATAACCTCGAGACTATCTAACCTTTAAAAGGTTTAATTAAACCTTTTCAGGAAATCAAATCACTCGCAGTAAAACTCAGTTTCAGAAGAGTTAAAAGTGGGAGCTCAAAAGCCAGACCTGTGTCAGCACAAAGAAGAAAAAGTCTGGGCTGACAAAAGCCTTTTGCTCCTAGGAAGATTCCTAGAAAGATTCTAGACTCCTCAATCTGAGGTAGGGTTTAGACAAGTAGGTCTGTAGGTCCCAGCTTGGGGAGGGACCCCAGCTTTCTCCTCTCTGGTCCACAGCATGTCTCAAGTTGC